AAAAAAAAAAAAAAAAAAAAATCCAGATATAAACAAAGAACATTCCATGGGATTCCATTTCTATTAGGTATAAGGACAGGGAAAAGTTATCTATGGTGCTGAAGTCCAAACAATGGTAACCCTTGGGGAGGGGGCCAGGAATACTTAAGGAGATGCAAGGGAGCTGGGGAGGAGCTTCTAATGTTCTGTCTCTTGACCTTTGTGCTGGTTACATGGGTGTGTTTAGTTCGTGAAAATTCACTGAATTCCATACTTTTTTTTTTTTTTTTTTGAGTTGGAGTCTCACTCTGTTGCCTGGACTGGAGTGCAGTGGCTGCTCCCAGCCACCGCAGCCTTGACCTGCTGGGCTCTGGTGATCCTTCCCGCCTCAGCCTTCCAAGTAGCCGGAATTACAGGCATGCGCTACCACGCCCGGCTGATTTTTTTTTTTTTTTTTGCGTTGGAGTCTCACTCTGTCGCCCAAACTGGAGTGCAGTGGCTGCTCCCGGCCACCACAGCCTCGACCTTCTGGGCTCCGGTGATCCTTCCACCTCAGCCATCTGAGTAGCTGGAATTACATGTGCGCGCTACCACACCCGGCTGATTTTTTGATTTATTGTAGAGATGAGGTCTCGCTGCCCAGGCGGGTCTCGAACCTGTGGGCTCAGGCAGTCCACTTACCTCAGCCTCCCAAAGGCGCAGGATTACAGGCTGAGCCACCAAGCCTGGCTTAAAAATTATTTCTTAATAAACACAACTTATCACACATGCAAACAAGAATGCCCCCTGCCACCGCCCCACTTAGAGGTGGCATAAGTCAGAACCCCATCCAACCCGCTCAGTTTTCTCCAGCGGTCATGTTCCCCAGTCCTGTACAGGCCAGTCCATTCCCTAGTGCCACTCACTGTCAGGAAGTTTGTGGATCCGCTCCCCGAGACTGAGGAAGAATGGATGTTTCATGGCATCCTCTGCGGAGATCCGATTTCGACCCTCAAACTGAGTTGGGGGTGGGGGGAGAATATTAGTATCTTCAACGAGCAGGTCTTTCTTTCTGCCCACCTCAGATCCTGACCTTGAGGGTCTGTTTCCCCACACCTGGCATCCTTTACCCTCAAGGCTGGCCCAGGAAGGTGGTCTCACCTGCAGCAGCTTGGTGAGGAGGTCAGCCCCATCGCTATCAAGCCTACCGCAAGGACAAGGAGACGAGCTTTAAGTTGAGTTTGGGGAGAGTTGTCTCCTAATGCCCACCCACCCACCCACCAGCCTCACCGGGGTGCGTGGCTCAAGAGGGCCTCAGCTCGGTACTTGGGATAGTTGTATGTCTTGAATTCCTCATTGGACAGGATGCCTGGCCACGTTTCCTCAGTTGGGGTTCCTAGCAGGGAAAAGGATTACCCCAAATATCTCATAAAGTCCTCCCTGCATGTCCCCACAGCTTCCAGGGTCTCCTCACCTAATATGCGGAAGATGAAGTGCAGCTGTTCCTCCACTGTGGAGCCCGGAAAGAGGGGTCGGCCTGTGGCCATCTCATAGAAGATGCAGCCCACACCCCTGGGCAGGGAGGGCACAGTGAATAGGGAGGCAGTTGCTGAGTGGCTGTTATGACCAAGCCACTCCCTTTTTTACATGGCCTCTGCCATGCTTCCACATGTCCTTACCACATGTCAATCTGGGTAGAGTAATCCGTGGACCCGAGTAGGATGTCAGGAGGCCTGTACCACAGTGTCACCACCTCATTGGAGTATGTCTTCGTTGGAATTGACTTGGCCCGGGCCAGGCCTGGGAAGCAGAGAGAAGGGGCAGCTAGAACAAGGAGGTTGTGGGCAAAGTCTGGTGAGGCTGAAGGGGAATGAGACTACGTGGTCATGGGGAAGGGGGAGGCTGAGAGAGTAAGGCTGGGGATCCATAAGAATAAGGGGGAGGCCGGTGGTACCAAAGTCAGCTAGCTTGAGCTCTCCCCTCTCGTTGATGAGTAGGTTCTGGGGCTTGAGGTCTCGGTGTAGCACCTTCTGCCGGTGGCAGTAGGCCAGGCCACGGAGCAGCTGGAACAGGAACAGCTGGGGACCCAGGAATGGCAGGCAGAGGTCAAAGAGTGTCCACCAGCCCGACCCCCAGCAGGCACTGCTTCCCTCCCAAACACAGACACTGAGTGCGGAGCCTTGTCACACAAAAAAGGACAGGGTCCCAGTGCCCTCCAAGGGCTCCCAGCAAAAAAAGTCAAACGGGAAAAGTCCGTTTCTGGGAGATGTGTGGGATGAAGTGGGTGAGTGGGGGCCCCCTCGTGCCCCAGCTTCCTGCCCCACACCCACTTTCACGTTGTGCATGTTGATAATGTTCCCACAGTCATCCAGGTACTGCTTCAGGTCCTTGTCCTGAGGATAGAAGAGGTGGTACAGGAACAAGGATTACATGCTGTGACTCCTGGGGCTATCTCCTCACCTCTCCCTCAGGACCCACTGCCTCCTGTCCTTACCAGGTACTCAAAGACAAGGGTGAGAGACTTCTCCGTGTGGATAATGTCATGTAGCGTGACGATGTTAGCGTGTTTGAGGTCCTTGAGCAGGGAAACTGCAGGAAGCATGGGAACAGAATGGGGTAGAGTCCAAGTCCCACCCTCAGGAAAAACACTAAGACAAGGACCAGACAGGGATGAGCTCAGGGATTCCTTCTTTTCACATTTTTTTTTTTTTTGAGTTGGAGTCTCACTCTGTCGCCCAGACTGGAGTGCGGTGGCCGCTTCCGGCCACCGCAGCCTTGACCTGCTGGGCTCCGGCGATCCTTCCTCCTCAGCCTTCTGTCTTTTCACATTTTAAGGTAATGCCTCATAGTCACCAGCTCTAATGCACCCTATGCCAGAAAGAAGTTGTGTCTCCATGTTCCAGATATGGAAAATAAGGCTCAGAGGACAGTATTAAGCAAAAAGCTGGGGCTGCAGCACCAGTCTCATATGACACCAGATTTTCACAACCTGTTTTTGATTTCTGGGAAAGGGCCTTGCTCTAATCCTCAGTACCCAGGCCTGCAGCATTGCATGAAATTGAGTTTGCACACTCAATTTTTGTACAATTCAAATTCATTCCATGTGATATTCTGACTAGAAACTGTTGTGGCAAGTAAGGTGGTGAGCACTTTCAGGGGTGCTCTCAGAATCAAAGCAAGGACCCTGGTTTGTAACTCAATCACCTTTTCTCTAAACAGGAATGGATTCCTGGTTACCCTGATTAATACTTGGATATATGGATGACAGGCATTCTCATGAAAGGCAGAGCACTGGGGGCATGGCTCCCAGAACCTTCAGTCTCTGTTCTCATCATGAAGCATGTGTGTGTACACCATGGGGAGGGTTCAGGAAGCCTGGAGCAGATGGGATGGGGTCTGTACCTTCTCGGATGGCGGTACAGGGTGCCCCCTCTTCATGCTCCAGTCTGATCTCCTTGAGTGCCACAAGGTTGTCTGTGAGCTTGCTTTTGCCTTTGTAGACGGTGGCATAGGTACCCTGGAGTGTGAGGAAGTGTGACAGGAGAGATGCTATGAGACTACAGGGAGTTCCCACTGAAACCCATCCCCAGCATGGGCCTCCTAGCTGTCTCTCACCTCGCCTAGCTTGTCCAACTTGATGTAGGTCTCCAGTTTCCCAAAGCCAATCTCGGACTGTGGGATACAGGAGGCAGGTTGAAGCAGGTTCGAGGAAAGGGACTGTGAGAGGTGGAGGAAGAGGAGGAGAAGACAGAACAGAAGGTGCTTACCAGGCTTACACGACGGAGGCGGCGGCTGAGGGGCTTGTCAAAGATGGGGCTATTGAGGGTCAGCTTCTCAAGGTAGCCCTCGGGCAGCCGGATGTCAGCTGGTAGCGACAGGCGCTTGTTGATGTCCTAGCAAGCAAGGCAGGAGACAAACAGGACCATGAGCTCCACCTACCCAGGCGCAACCCCCTTTTCCAGCTCCTCTACCATCCAGACAGGGGGTTAGGCACCTCAGTGGAGATCTTGCGTGGGGGATGGTTGCGCATGCGCACCCTCACTGGAGACTGCACCTCATCCGAGGACGTGGCTGAAGCCTGGTCACTCTCCCCATCAGACCCCATCTTCAAGTCCTCGTGTACAATCTCTGGTGGTGAGGAGAGGGGGAGGAAAGGCCAGGTGGGGTCAGGAATCATAGGACACCTCCTCCCCCATGCAACACCTTCCACCATCACACATGTATGTACATGGCCCCCATAGGAGCCTAGAGTCCCTCAGGGAGAGGGTGGTGGGACCCAAGGAAAGTCTGGTACATCCAGGACAGGATGAATGGGAGAGTATAAAAGTCATCTAGTGGAGCACACCCTTGCAAAATGAGCTGAGACTGTGGTTGGTCCAGAGCCACTCAGTAGGGAGGCCATGGCAGAGGTCACCAAAGACTGTGGTAGCCAAAGGCCTGAGAAGACATGCCCAGAAGGCCTGATGGGGCCACCACAGTATGCAGGAGAGGGGCAGAGGGAGCCCTGGGGCAGCTGTGACAGGCAAGGCATCCTTCCTCCCTCTGGGACCTGGGCACAAAACCAAGGAAAGGGACACAGATAGACAGATAAAAAGAGGGTGTTGAGAGAGGATGGGAAGGAAGACATGATGGATAGGAAAAGGGAAGAAAATAAAGAGGAAAATGAAAACACGAGTCTAAGAGGAACTTGGCCAGGAGGCAGGATCTGGGAACCAGCATGGGTACAGGGGAGAGAAAGAAGTCAGTGGACCCACCTGGTGCAGAACTCAGTGGGCCCCGACCAGAGCGAGGTTCCCCAGGAGCAGCACGTGTGGGGGCCTCTCCAGGGTCACTACCGCCACCACCACCACTCTCATCCAGGCCTATCTGCTCAGGGGCACCATTGGTCTTGTCTATGCCTCGGCCACCTCGGAGTGTCATTGACAGCTGCCGTTTGATCTTCTTCATCCGATCCATGGCAACCTGAGCAAGGGGCATGGATAGAAATGGATTTCCTATTAGCATTGCTTGACCACCACGGGTATCCCAAAGCCCATGACAACTAAGTGCAGAGCACTGACGTGACCTTGTGTCAATGCCCATCCAACCACTATGGACACTTGGATTTCTGGAAACCTGACATGGATGGGGACTCTTGTTAGTGCCTGCCCACTGACAGCCAGTCCCTTGGGATCCTGCTCCTAAGTAGCTCACCTGGGTACTCAGACTTGAGTGGCTAGTTGAGGATAAGAGCCCACCTAGTGGTTTGTTGGTCTCTAGGGGGACAATCTCATTGTAGGAGCAGTAGGCGCCACAACAGATATTCTCAGGTACAGCAGCAAGGGTGGGCCTAACTGCGAGGGTGACAGAGGCCTTGCCCAGAACCGTGGGACCACTGACACAGCCCTGGGCATGCCCATAGAATGGCATATTCTGCTGACACCAGCCCCACACCACCCCTAACTGCCAAGGCAGAATGCTCCCTGTGGTCACAAGGACCCTCTTGACTCCCCTAGCAACCATTATCATGGCAACTATTGGACCACCCCAATGGTCTACCCAGGTGGGGGTGTCGGGGGGGTTCTGCCCAGACCTAACCACTGGGTAGGGTTGCTGGGAGGGGTCTCAACACACACAAGCTGTCCTCAGGGCTGCTGGAAAGGTTTGATCAGGTTAGGACCCCTAGCGTCCAACCCAGACTTTACAAGCCAGGTCACATTTCTCCTCTACTCAGGAATATACCACATCTCCCTTATCCCTCCAAATAAACACCGCAGTCTTCAGTGTGGCTCACAGGGCCGTTTACTTCTGTTGCCTCTCTGTTCCATCTCCCCCTTGATCATTTCTAGTTGCTATTCTGCAATCACATCCAGCAGAGTCCCACCTCAAGGTGTTTGCACTGGCTATTCCCAGTACCTTCCCCTAACTTTCAAAATAACTCACTCCCCTCCCGCTTCAGGCCATTGCTCAAAGGTCACCTTTTTCATGAGGCCTCCATGAATAACCCTATTTAAAATCTCAACCATTCTAAGTTTCTTTACCTTGCTAATTATTCCCCAGCACTCATCAGAAATGATACCATCTACTTATTGGTTTCTTTATTCTTTACTGTCTACCTTCTCACTGCCACAACTAGAAGGTCAGCTCCTCCACAGTGGATTTTTGTCTGTGTAAGTCATGGCTATATCTTGAGGACCTGGAATAGTGACTGCACAGAACAGATGCTCAAAAAGTGCTTATGGCAGAAACGAGTGAAATGGGGCTGAGGGTCTAGGACCAACCTCTTCTAGGTGGTGAATCCCTGCTACTCACGAACAACCAACCCTAAACAAGGTAATCCAGGGATGCTGGCATCAATAGGAAGATGACCTAGATGGGCTGCTGGAGGGAATGGGGCCACCAAAAAAGCTTAGGCCAGCCTTCTACTGCTTCCTCCTGGGCAATGAGCCAGGAAGGAGGGGGAAAGACCTGGCCTAGGAACCATCTGGACTCACAGCAGGGCCTAAGATGGCCCTGGGCCCAAGGGAAGTAAAGCTAGATAGGAGGTCGAGGATGAGGCCGGGGTTGGATTTGAGGAGAGAAATGGGTCATCTGTTACCTTTAAATTAGGTGCTTACTCCAGCAGTTCCTACCCCTATTCCTTCCTGGCTGAACTCACTGACCCCAGGAGGGGCAGAGGGGCCAGCCTAGTAGAAAGACTTCAGATAGAGGATGAGGTCTACCCACAGAAAACCCAGGATAACAACAACAAAAAAAGTCCTAACCCGGGAGGTGAACACTAGAACTAAGGCTGAGGAAGGTGAAGCATGGCCAGCTCCCAAAGATTACCTTGTGTCCCCATATGGCATGGTTACCCAGTTGCTTTGCAGGTTGTGACAGGGAATGGGGGGGGGCTGGGGAGGACCGTAAGTAGGGCTGAATGGAGGATAGGGTGGGAGTCAGAGGAGCCATAGGTCCACGATCTCTAACTGGAAACCTCAGGGGCTGAACATGTTCTGGAGTTCAGTTTTTTGGGTATTTCAGTAAGATGGAATACAAAATGATGCAACACTCCCAGAAAGGGGGGCAGGCAGGCCCCTGTGAATGGAGATACTTTCATATGCAATGAAACTTTTAAATATCACTTCAGTTGTCTGAGATTTGTAGATTTCAGAATAAGTGAAGGAAGAAGCAAGAAACTGCACATAAAACTTCACCCCAGCCGGGCTCGGTGGCTCAGCCTGTAATCCCGTGCCTTTGGGAGGCTGAGGTGAGTGGATAGACTGAACCTGCGGGTTCGAGACCCGCCTGGGCGGCGAGACCTCATCTCTACAATAAATCAAAAAAT